CGAGCCCACTCTTTTTGAGGTCGTTCTTCAACAGTAGACCGACGCCTCCGCGCGTCCAGAGCGCACTCGTCGACGCCCTCGGCGTCTCGACGACTGACACTTTGATCACCTACTTCTCCCTAGTAACTCAGACCTTCAGGTACTCCATCATCAACTTCTTCAGGATGTTAGCGTTTTCTGCTTCGACGACTCCTACCTCATTGACGTCATCGACCACTTCGACGACTTCAACTACCCTCTTGACTCCAACCATCTTATCGCTTTCAGCTACTTTGGGCGTGACTACTTCACGCCACCACCCTACCCTGTATATCCCCTTGCATCTGTCGCATGATGGTTCTCACTTAGTTGGGTCTCTTTGAGTTGGGCTCTCCCTTGGTATCGCATAGGCATTGGGACCCTAGCGCTATCTTGGCTTCCCTGCTCCCTGATCTAGCTCCCTCCCCCAGTCGGTGAGTTGTGTGCATGTTTCCCTCACCCACTGCGTCCCTGATCATCCTAGTGTCGGCCATTGCATGCCTTCAGTTAGGCATATGACCACCCTCTTCCAGGCTCCCCTTTCATGGTGGACCCGGCATGGTGTCACCCTTTCGGCGAGCATTACCCACCTTGATGGTCTATCTGTTAGGGTCATTGGTTTTGCTTCGCTACCACTTCCTCACCTGAGCCTGACGATCTATCCCACCTTCGTGTGTGGCTGCCCTTAGGAGTTTCGATTCTTAGGCTGCATTCACCCCCTCTGAGACCATCCCACTCTTAGTGGTTCAACGACATGACATTACTTGTGATATATTGCTCTTTTTCCTTTCAGCACTGAGGCAATTGCCTCGAGGACTTTAGGATTGTATCATGTTACATTTCATTTTCTATTGTTAGATAGGATGTGTATACCAGACATTTGCTTTTCATTTGACATCATGTAGCTTAGGCTGCATCGCATGGACTTCGCATGGAGCTTGCTCCGCATCCTAGATTTCTTAGCTTTCTTTATTGCAGAGTTTTGTTGCTTTCGCGGAAGCGTGTCTTTGGCTCTTGCGATCCACTACAGGTCTGAGGATCGTGCAACATACCTCTCTGGCTATCAGGCTAATTTGCCTATTCAGTATGTAGGACCAGGTCGTGGCTTGACCCCACAGGCCGTATATTCATTCAGTCCAGTCCAATCCTACCCGGTACCGCTGTCGGTACCAGGCCAGTCCAGTCCCGTTCAGTCAGTCCGTTGGGGTATACCCCAACTGCAGTCTTTTTCCATTCTCGTTCTCCATTCAACACTTTTGGAGTATGCGTGTCGAGTCCGCTTCGGAGCTGCGCTGTCCCTTCCAGCTCCATCTCCATCTCCTCCCTCTCAACTCTTTGTCTTGATCCTGATGGACCGCCATCCCGACGGGTCCGTCACACTGTTGCAGTGCTCACTGTAATAGTCAGTGCCTGCCCAGATGATGAGGGCTGATTCTCGCGATTGGTGTAATTGACTTCGACAGCGCCCCAGATCGATTTGTCCCCACTATTGCTTGTGAATGTGTCTCCATCGTGGAGAGAATGACCGTGAACGGATGATTGGTGCCTCAAATCTGTGGGGGAGGGGAAACGTGTCAGTAGAAGTCATAAGTCATTGTTATGGGTGGGGAGAGACAAGGGAGTACTTTTGGCGGGGAGCGGCGTGAAGCCTTGTCGCTGGCTTCGTCAACCTCTGCGCTTGATTGACGAGACTCTCTACTAGCACGTTGCACGCTGAGTAATGAGCGTGGTTCCTCTTCCATTGTGTGGGTTTCGCCAAGATCGTCATTACGTTTTCATCTGTTTACACGGTGCGATGAGTGTAGTAGGACAATAGTTCATTTTGTTGATCCCGAGAGGTCAGTGTGCAGTCATACATCGAAATAAGGTGAACAAAGACGGGTGTGAACTGTTTTCTAACAGACACGTGCGAGAGGAGGGCTTGACTTTCAAGAAAGCTTATGCATGATCATCATAACTAACAACATTAGTGAGTGAGACATAATCTCTTCAGATCATGATGGGGCAAGTGAGGTAAGACATTAGAGTTTGGGACTTACCCGAGAATTCACTCTTGTAAATGTTTTCAGGTGACTTTATTAGTTGCATGTGTGACTCGCGGTGCGTTTCCCTCTCTGGTCGGTCCATAGCTAGGCTACCAGACTAATAACATTAGTGAGTGAGACATAATCTTTTCAGATCATGATGGGGCAAGTGAGGTAAGACATTAGAGTCTGGGACTTACCCGAGAATTCACTCTTGTAAATGTTTTCAGGTGACTTTATTAGCTGCATGTGTGACTCGCGGTGTGTTTCCCTCTGTGGTGTGTCAATAGCTAGGCTACCCGAGTGGCCCGGGTCCACCTGCCCGGACGGGCCAAAAAGAAATAAAAAAATAAAAAAAATAAAACTTATTTTTTAATTTACATTTCTATTTTAAATTTGGTGAAGAATTTCGATATGAACCTGAGGCAAACATTGTTCAGTTTATTTTTCTGCATAACATAGTCTGTTTTCGGATTTTTTTTTTTTTTATTTTTTTATTTTTTATTTTTTTGGCTAGGGCCTTCTCTAGTCCTTGCACGGCCGGGCTGCCCGGGAAAATAGGGTGACCCGGGCGGCCTGGCTGGTAGCCTAGGTCAATAGCACTCAATCAAAGATTAAGCTCAGAGCAAATACACTAGAAATTACTGCCACGCGCTTCCTCTCTGCTAAGATGAGAGTGTCAGTCGTAGAGAACTGGAGGTTGATCCAGGCAATGTCAGTATAGTTTCGCCAACGCCAACTGTA